TTTAGTTTTTATTAACCTTTATATATAATGCTATTTTGAATATGTTTCTTTTCCGTTGGCTGTTTCTAAAATTCTCCTTCTGTTAACTTAGGTTTCAACTCACATGTGCTCCCTTCCCGATCCCCTTTGGTATCTCTCAAAATCAAAATCCTAACATTGAGAATATGAATCAGAATTTAAATTGCCTAAAACCTCTAGGAGGACTTAGTCAGTTCAGGTCAGATGGAGATACTGTTTTAGAGAAGAGTATGTTTCAGGAGAATCATTTGGCACAGCAGCACCGAACACAGATTGGCATGTGTTGGGAGGAAGTCTGTGAGACTGAGACTGGGAATGTGTGAAAATAATGAATTTTGAGACAATAAAAGTATATTAGAGGGAAAATATACAGTAGCCTTGAAACAACTACCAGGCTTCCTAGGATGTGACCTACAGTAGGAATATACTGAGGGAGCAAAGAAGGGAAGAAGACAGTCTAAAATTTTAGGAAGCATTCCATAAGACTTTATTTCATTACGTAAAAAATTGTCCTGTGAATTGAAATTTATATTTAGCTTTACAAATTGGATGAGCTAGAATAGTTTATAAAGTTAACATTCAAAGCCACAGAGATGCATTTCCATACATTTTCATTTTTTGAAAGACGGACAAGCTTCCCTGCACTGCTTGACTTTTGTTTTCAAAAGTCATATATGCTTTGGGCCAGCTCTAGCTGGAGAGGAGAAGGGCAAGCTCTGAAGATTTCCTCCCTGTCATCCCCATGCTGTTTTTAAAACTTTCTACAATAGTTACCAAGCTCATATCTGTTTTGTGTTCTTGATGCTTTAGTATCCTTTAAAAGTATTTAATTATCTAGAACCGAGACAGGAAAGAAGGATGGTAAGACTTAAAATGAAAATGACATAGGCTACATTTAAGTTTTGTTTGAAAGCCCTGAGCTAGATATTAACTAATAAAACTGTATAGATTTTCCTTCCCCAAATATACTGCTGATACTTTCACAGCTTGGAATGGGGATTTTAGAGCAGAGCTGGAAGACAGTCCACTGACTCAATGTGCTTCACAGAACATGAATAAAACCTGAAAGAAATAATAAAGATAAAATAAGGTAAAAATACAAATCTGAAAATCAGAGTAATAACAAACCAATATGCAATTTATGCTGATACCTTCTGTTGGCCTGCAATTGGTTTTGGTGACATGCACGCACAAGTGCCTTCTTTTTGGGAAGGAGTCAACCCCAAGCATAGAGGCGCAGAATCCAGACAGAAGGCTTATGCTGGGGACGCCTGGGTGGCTCGGTGGTTGAGCTTCCGCCTTTGGCTCAGGTCCTGATCCCTGGGTCCTGGGATGGAGTCCCACATCGGGCTCTCTGCAGGGAGCCTGCCTCTCCTTATGCCTCTCTCTTTCTCTGTGTGTCTCTCATAAATATATAAATACAATCTTTAAAATAAAATAAAATAAATTTAAAAAAGAAAGGAAGAGAAATTGAATCAATGATATGGCATTATTTTGGAAACAAATACGATAATAAAAGGGATTTGTCATGAAAAGAATAACGTTTCCTGGAATATAGAAATGGTTTAAATTGTTTCAAGGTGTTTTCTTTGTGTTCATTCATGCAATATTGTCCATCTAATAACTGCTTTTCCCGGGGGGGGGGCGGGGCGGGGGCAGGAACCCTTCTAAAAATACTAAATGATATCACAACTATTTAATCTAAAGATATGCTTTTAAGAGTGGATAAACCTTTGAGGTTACTATGTGTTTGGAAGATGAGCAAACGTGTAAAAAAAAAATGAGTAAAGGAGAATATAAGCATTTGGTACTCCGAAATCTATCAGGCTCCTTCTCATAATTACTTCTTGGCCCTTGTTCTTATTCCGTGTCTATTCCAATTGTCTTTGTGCCCTTTCTGACCACAGAAAGCTTGGGACAGTGTTACATAGGACAGAATGCACAAACAAGGAAGTTATAATACTGATGATAAAAGCAGTTTATCTTGTAGGCACTGAATCTCAGAGGAGGGGGGTCAGTGGATTAAGAAAGAATTCCATCGTGTAATCTTCCGCACAAAAGGCTGTTACCGTCTCTGGCTGAGCTCTCAAAGAAACATCAGGTCTAGGGTTGGCCAGCGAGGGCCGCTGACCTATGTGAAGGAGAAAATGACATCCCCTGTCCTCGGTGATGACATACCTCCTGTTTCACTTCTTGGTATCCTAGTGCAGGAGAATTTACACCTTGTCAAAGAGGGACACTTCTGAGAACGGAAGCTCCTTTCTTAGAGTCAGGACAGCAGGAGGGAACTCAGCAGTCCCAGGGAAACAGGCATTTCAGTCACCCCCAATTATATGGACTTAAAGAGATCTGTTCAACAGAGGTAGAAATCAAGGAAATTGTCAAGTAAGTGAAATCTGTATTTCTTGGTGCCATTTTTACTATTTTGCCTGATCCTTCCATTCCTGGGAAACACTTTTTGGCCAATGAGATACAAAATACGCCTCCTTCCACCCCCACACACATCTTTTGGAGAAGCTCCTGGCAGATTAGACTTAATGTTAAGAAAGCATGAACAGTTAAAAAAATTTTTTATGAAAATTTGTACCCTCATGAAGATCAAAGTCTCCAACTAAAGCAAAGCCAGTCTGAGAGTAAAATATAGAGAGCAAATTGGTAAGTGGGGATATTTAAGAAAATATATCGCAAGAGTAATGTCTGCTTATTAAAATCAGAACAAAAAACAGTTAAACTCACACATAAGGCCTGTTTTACTTTAACTCATCCCCATTTCCCAGGGGTAATGCTTTCTCCTGTGTTCTTCAAGGTAACTTTTAATTCATATAGTAGTACTTGTGTAGTGTCTGTGTATATTATATATAATGTATGTGATTATATATGTAAATTTATAACATATTATATATATACAATTTCTTTTTTAATTAATGTGATCATACTGCATAAATGTTAAGTGAACTTTAAGTGAACTTTTTTCACTTAAAGATACATTTGAACATAATGTCGTATCTATATCTGTGACTGTGTATTTCAACTTTATCAACTGAGAGCAAGAGGATATTTAGGGGGGAATACTATAATAGCATACATAAAACAAAGTTAAAACACACATTGCTAACATTTTGATGAACAAGAATAATAATGAAAAATTTACATTCTGTTATTGATAAAATAATGAAATAATTTCAAAAATCCTGTTTTCTTTGGAATGAATCATTTTTAGTAGGTAGAATGGACATATTCACACCTCCAGGAAATGCGGGGCTCTGAGTAGCTTCTGTCCATCTCAGAGTTTCTATATCACTACCATCCTTTCTGGAATATTTCTGTGTTTCTATGCACCAGGCACTATGCCAGCAGATGGTTACTACAATCCCTGTTATTCACAACAGATGGTTACTACAATCCCTGTTATTTAGGTTGATGTTTTGGAGTTAAGGAGGAAATGGAAAGCTAGTTTTCAGTGGGTAACCTTAGGAAATTTAGAGTTCTAAAAACCATAAGTAATTCCTCTTTGAGCATCTCAGAGATCCAGAATCACTAAAGTTCCTTTTATCCACACTGCTCTATTTCTGGGGGACAACATCCAGACTGAATGTTGTGCATCTGTGCCTCACAACAAAACAACTTAGAAAAGTATTATTATTTTCATACCACAAATGAAGATCATTTGTGGATCATTTTATCCTCTGAAGATCAGAGGAGAAAAAACATTCCCAGGGTAATGGGACTCATTGGGCAAGGTAGGATCCCAGGTCTGTCAGAATTCAAGTTCCTTATTTTTAAAAAAATCCTGTATGAATTCTGAGCTTTTAAAAGTAAAAGGATGGGTGCCTGGGTGGCTCAGTGTCTGCCTTTGGCCCAGGTCGTGATCCTAGGGTTCGGGGATTGAGTTCTGAGTAGGCTTCCCTGCTCAGTGGGAGCCTGCTACTCCCTTTCCCTGGCTTGTGCTCTCTTGAACACACACTCTCTTAAATAAATGAATAATAAATAAATAAATAAATAAATAAATAAATAAATAAACAAACCTCAAAAGAAAAGTAAAAGGATATAGATCCTTAAATTGTGTTTGATTACTTGTTGGATTCTGTCTACATTTTTTTTTCAGATTGGGAAGGGTGAGATTGAAAATTTTAACTAATTTTCACAAACAAAGAATCTCATTGGCATTAAGGAGAAATTAGAATAAATTCCAATGTCAGGAACTATGCCAACTTTTTTTTTAAGATTTTATTTATTTATTTACTTATTTACTTATTTAAGAGTGAGTCAAGGGAGGGGCAGAGGGCGAGGAAGAGAATCTCAAGCAAACTAAGCAGACTTTGAATGTGGATCCTGATGCTAGGCTTCATCTCATAATCCTGAGATCATGACCTGAGCCTGAGTCCTGAGCCAAAATCAGAAGTCAGACTTTTTTTTTTTATGATAGTCAGAGAGAGAGAGAGAGAGAGGCAGAGACACAGGCAGAGGGAGAAGCAGGCTCCATGCACCGGGAGCCCGACGTGGGATTCAATCCTGTGTCTCCAGGATCGCGCCCTGGGCCAAAGGCAGGCGCCAAACCGCTGCGCCACCCAGGGATCCCCAAAAGTCAGACTATTAACCCACTGAGCCACCCTCGTGCCCCAGAACTATGCCAACTTCTACCTACTAGTAGGTATTGAGGCAGAAAGAAATAGAATAACAAACTTGCAAAATGACAAAAACTCAAAGGATACCTTCCATGAACATAGCAACTAATGATACACTTTAAAGATTTTGAAATTCATTTTGTTAGTACACTGTTACAAATACAGAAACACCTTTGAAATAGTTGGAAAGGTATTTATATTTTTATCAATACATTTTTTGCATTTTTAATACCTCCGGTCTATAATTTATGTAAATTATTTACAAAATGATTGTTACCAACTGGCAGTAAATAAATATGCATTTATTAACTTACTGAATTTTTATATTTCAGGGAACAAAATGCTAAACCATTTAACATGAACCAGGTAAATGAAAGCATCCCACAGGAGTTCATCCTCTTAGGTTTCTCAGATCGACCATGGCTGGAGCTCCCACTCTTTGTGGTCTTCCTGGTTTCCTATATCTTGACTATCTTTGGCAATCTGGCAATAATTCTTGTGTCTTATCTGGACCCCAAACTCCATACCCCTATGTACTTTTTTCTTACCAATCTGTCACTCCTGGACCTTTGCTATACCACAAGTACAGTTCCACAGATGCTGGTAAACATATGCAGCACCAGGAAGGTGATTAGTTATGGTGGCTGTGTGGCCCAGCTCTTCATTTTCCTGGCCTTGGGTTCCACTGAATGTCTTCTCTTGGCTGTCATGTCTTTTGATAGGTTTGTAGCTATTTGTCGGCCTCTCTATTACTCAGTTATCATGCACCAAAGGCTGTGCCTCCAGCTGGCGGCTGCATCCTGGCTCAGTGGCTTTGGCAACTCAGTGTTGCAATCCACCTGGACCCTTCAGATGCCTCTCTGTGGCCATAGAGAAGTAGATCACTTCTTTTGTGAAGTCCCTGCTCTGCTCAAGTTGTCCTGTGTAGACACAACAGCAAACGAGGCTGAACTATTCTTTATCAGTGTGCTGTTCCTTCTAATACCTGTAACGTTCATCCTTATATCTTATGGTTTTATTGTCCAAGCAGTGTTGAGGATTCAGTCAGCCAAAGGCCGGCGAAAAGCGTTTGGCACCTGTGGCTCCCATCTAATTGTGGTGTCACTGTTTTATGGCACTGCTATCTACATGTATCTGCAACCACCATCACCCAACTCAAAGGACCGGGGGAAGATGGTGTCCCTCTTCTATGGAATCATCACGCCCATGTTGAACCCCCTTATATACACACTAAGAAACAAAGATGTAAAGGGAGCATTTAGGAGGTTGATTCTGAGGATCTTCTTAATCAAGAAATAGGAATGCCCAAATGATAGGCCTTCTGAAAGACTTGAGGTTTATGCATTTTAATAATTTAATTGTCTACAAGTTGCCTTATTCTCACTACTCTTAGAAAGAGCTATTATAGTGATCTTCCTCAAATAAAATGTCATTGATAGAAAATTTATTTCATTTCTATTTCCCAAACCTCTCAGGTTTTCTAAGGTCTGAGTGACAAGGGGGCTAGAAATTTGCATGTCTAACGAATGCCTAGGTAATGCTGATCAGGGGACCACACTTTAAAGACTGCTGGGCTAATATTTAAAATAAATAAATTTTGCTAAGTTCCTATCTTTTTTCTCCATCGGTGAGAGATGTAATTAAAAGGGAAAATGGGGGGATCCCTGGGTGGCGCAGCGGTTTGGCGCCTGCCTTTGGCCCAGGGCGCGATCCTGGAGACCTGGGATCGAATCCCATGTCTGGCTCCCAGTGCATGGAGCCTGCTTCTCCCTCTGTCTATGTCTCTGGCTCTCTCTCTCTCTCTCTGTGTGACTATCATAAATAAATAAATTAATTAATTAAAAAAATAAATAAAAGGGAAAATGGAAGCAAGACACTAAAAGAATAAAGTATGAGAGGACATTCCCCCCAAAAAATACAGTTGTATTTTGAAGTCTAAATAAATAATATGGGGGCAGCCTGGGTGGCTCAGTGGTTTAGGGCCGCCTTCAGCCCAGGGTGTGATCCTGGAGACTAGAGATCGTGTCTCATGTCCGGCTCCTTCTCCCTCTGCCTGTGTCTCTGCCTCTCTCTCTCTATGTCTCTCATGAATAAAAAATAAAGAAATAAATAAAAATAAAAAATAAATAAATAATATACTGGACTACCAGAGATAAATTTTGATATGATCTCAAATTTGATGTCAGTGACCTTTAAAGAATTGTGAAGAATAGCAGTGAAATTAGAGTGATGGAAATTGAGGCATTTTTTTTTTTGGCATTTTGTGTTTTTGAAGATGAGCCGCTAATTGACTCAATACATGATATAATGGCAAACTTTAATACAATTTATACAAGATATATATACTAATTTTACTATCAGTTTGTGATTATTTTTAAAGTATATATTTATATTAAAATATATTAATAAGTATATGATATATATTTATTATCTAAATACATATTATTTAATATATTATTTTATGTACTATATCACTTATTACCTTAAATAATGAGTAATATTTAATATATATACTAGTTGATATATTTAATATATAAGTTGATGTATTTAATACATTATTTAAATTATATACTATAAATAATTAGAATCCATTCTGGTTTCATTTAGAACAATAAATACTAAACTAACAGTCTATTTTTCTAGACTGTTATTGTTAGAGAATGTTATATACATATAACGTATCTCGATTTCTGAGTAGAATTTGCACACTTCTCACAGTTTGTATAATATGGAGCAGTAATGACTAAGATGGTAAAGTAATCCTATTTGCTCCTATTTGTGGGGTGACCCCATTGGATGGGAGTCCAGCAGCACCGGCAGTGAAAGGATACACCCAGGGCAGAACGAAGTTTATTGACTATACTGCAAGGGAGTAGTAGGGCAGGACAGCAAAGCAGAGACTGTCTGCCACAAGGCAGTCGTGAGGACCCACAATTACAGGGCAGAATGAGGGAGGTATAGGGATGTATGGAATGTTCCCTTTTTTATTAACTGTGCCTGGTTGGAAGTAGCCCAACCAGGTTGTTGGTTAGTTAGGGCCTATGGCTATTTTGAATGAGCCTATTGGCATTCAGCTCAGGGGTCATCAAGCCTCTTGTCTAAAAGTGGCATTTACACTATCTGCTTGTAAAACCTCCCTTAAAAAGTGATTACTAAAACCCTACCGCTCTGGAAGGAAAGCACTGTTGTCCTATGAATTATATTCACTTGTCCTACTAGAATATGCACTTAATGGGACACCTGGGTAGCTCAGTGGTTGAGCATCTGCCTTCAGCTCGGGACGTGATCTGGGGTCCCTGGATACAGTCCCACATCGGGCTCCCTGTGAGGAGCCTGCTTCTCCTTCTGCCCGTGTCTCTGCCTCTCTCTCTCTGTGTCTCTCATGAATAAATAAATAAAATCTTAAAAAAACAGAATATGCACTTATCAATAATTTGTATGAACTTAAAGATGATAGGCTTACTAGATTAAAAGTGACACCAAACTGAGAGAAATAATAATTGATAATAACTGATAATTCTATGGAAATCAGAAATAAAAATAAAAGAAGCCATAAATAAATGGATGAAATTGAACATAAATTAATGCAGAGGTATGTACTTCATATTATATACTACAGGATAGTGGGAACATGAGTAGCAATGAGATCTATAAAGTCACAAGTGGGAACATACCATCAATAAAGCATGCAATGATTGGCATCATTTCCCGGACTCACCTTTGAAGGGATACATTATGAGACTAAGATACTTCTACGGAACCATGATGTGGAGGGCAAAAGCACTAACACCCCGGGAGGGCCACTTTGTCATATTGATTACTTTAAATAAAAGTTACTTAAGAGGCAGTATGTGCAAGGACACTCTGACCCTCCTCTGTCCCCTGAAAGCAGAAAATGAATCTCCCAGAAAGTTAACCTCCCTGTATCAGGGCACATAGAGAGACAACTTTCTCACCAGAGATGGGCCAAGAAGGCTGTATAAGCAATTCTTGTTACATCTCCCTAATTACTACCTGAGCCCAGATTCTGTTTAGAATTCCTCACTATTTGAGCTCCCAAAGTTAAGTTTTCTTTGTCCTGTCAAATCCTTACAGATTTATCGTCTCTTTGTCTAAAATGTATAAATGCTGCCTGCCTTGGTCTTTTCTTCAGGGCCTCAATTTCATAATTGGGCCTCTAGGTGCACTTAATAAAATGTAGGTTTTTGATGGTTTTTTTCCCTCTTGTGTGAATCTGTCTCCCATTGATTTAATTCTTGGTCCAGCTGGAAGACTTTCAGGGTAGAGATGACTTTTTCCTTCTCTTGTTAGCTCTCTTCCAGAAAAGGACTTCAAACAGTGGATTTGCATTTTCTTTACCTGCCATCCTTCCAGTAAGGAAGACACACTACTAAGAATCATCAACAAGCGGGGTATACTGTATACTGAATAAGCATGTATATTTGTGCTAATATAATATTTCTAATGTAAAGAGTGGGTATAAGTGTAAGATAGTAAATATGACAGTATGATTATGTTTGTGTTTAACTTACACACAAATACACAAATTCAATTGTCTAATTACTATCTGTATGACTCTAGTGTTATTCACCTTTTAAAAACTATATCAAGGGGCACCTGGATGGCTCAGTCAGTTGAATGTCTGCCCTTCAGGTCATGTCATGATTTCTGGTCCTGGGATCCAGTCACACATGGGGCTCCCTGCTCAGAGGGCAGCCTCCTTCTCCCCCCCCTTTAAAATACATTTTATTTTATTTTTCTTAAGATTTTATTTATTTATTCATCACACACACACACACACACACACACACACACACGGGGGGGGGGGTGGGGAGGCAGAGACAGGCAGAGGGAGAAGCCAGCTTTGTGCAGGGAGCCCGATGTGGGACTTGATCCTAAGACTGGATCCTGGGACTCTGGGATCACACCCTGAGCTGGAGGCAGATACTCAACCAGTGAGCCACCCAGGCTTCCTCTGAAATAAATTTTAAAAAGCTCACAGGTGCTTACCAACAGCACCATCCAGGCACCGTGGGGTGAGATTCTTGAGGCTGTTCATTGGTCAGGAGATAAGTCTTGGTGTTCTGTACATCATGTACTTATGGGAAATGATTCTCTAGGGGCTTATGTTCCCTTCCTCTAAAGATGTTTGTAGGAGAGTCTCCATTTCATATCCTCCAGTTCCATTTTAGATAGAAATCCTTTCACAGGGACAAGACTTTGAATGTCACCACTGGCCAAGAAAGGTCTTGGGAATTTTGAGGACAAAGATGCATATTCCCTGACCTCTGAGATTTTCATTTCCACTTCCCTGTCCATCAGCTTCCCTCCTTAGATGAGCCTCCTTCACATTTGTGAAGCACTGTCTTCCACCTTAAGCCCATGTCTCTCTCTCCTAGAGAAGCTTCCTACTTAACATCCAAGAGGTGGCAAACATTTCCTTCACATTTTTACAACAGACCTGATTCTCACTGGATTGTCCCTGTAAGAGTGTCAGAGTCACCTTCCCCACGCTCAGCCTTGCTCTGTGGCCTCTAGTTTCTGAAGTCTCACCAGAACTGGGAGACTTACAAGGAGGTTTGCAGCCACTTCCTAGATCCACAGGAGGCAAGAAATTGTCCTTTAAAGTCATACCCTCTCTGTACCTTGAAGAGCAGAATGATCAATCTCTAGAAACATTTATCAGTGGAGAAGGCACAAACTTAAATCTGCATAACAACCATATGCTTGTTTACTTTGCCTGAAAAATTTCCCAGGACTGCCTCCCCTCTGGATCCCAAACATGGATCATGTCTTTAGCTGGAGACGTATTTAAAGGCAGTGACTTGAGACCAGGTTCTCCTGGGTCTCTCCCAAGTATACAGGAGGTATCCATGTTAGTATGCTTGTTTATTTTTCTCCTGTTAATCTACCTTTATTACAGTGGTGTCTCAGCCAAGAACCTAGAAGGGTAGAAGCTTTGAAAATTAATAAAAGGAAATATCTTCAATGGAGTCAGAAGGCCAGGTAAGGGAGCTCTCATGCTCAGCGCTGTCAGTTGCAGATGCAATAGAAAGACATAGACCTTGAGGGTGGATACTGCTTTATCGTGCTCCACCCCTAAGAGCCCAATGAGACACTATCATAATTCAGCCAATGAAAAGCCAGGACACTTTGAAATCTGTTTGCTCCAATGGACTTTTACTTTAGTACAGCTTTTCCCAGTTCCCCTGATCCTCTAAGAAAGTGTGTTCATCTCCTTTGCCTATGGCTTTGACTGTCCCAGATTGCAAGTCTCTGGCTATGGCTCAGTGAATCCA